TATACCAGATCTAGATTCATTCTCAAAATACAATCTCGCCTAAGGCAGATCACGATTCCAATAGCGAGTTGGCAGTAAAGAGTTCATCAAATAAACTGATTTTACAGACACCTTATTAGAAACCAATCGTTGCAGGATATCGGCAACATCATCTGGTTTTTCAAGTTTGATCAAACATTGGCACATAGAGACAAAATCGGGTTCCTCCAGTTCAGCAAACAAACGAAGTAGCAAGTCCAATACTATACTTCGAAAAGCTCGGTCCATTTGTGACACCAGTACTTTAGCCACAGTTTCGGTTAGCAAAGCTGCTTGATCATCAGTAGCCTGGAATTTGATCAAAATAATGGCATACTAAAATTACTAGTTCCCAAAAATGCACCGATGATAAAGACATTAGCATGTAGACTTAGCTAGCAGTATTTTAATGCTGCAGTGAAGTCGTAATGATAATTCAAACAAGACATATCTTTTGCATTTGTTCTATTCATACCTACATCTAAAGGGATATCTCTAGTACTCCGAAACATATGTTAGAATCGGGAATATGCTAATACAAATCCGTAAGTATAAAGTTAGTTTTACTTCTGCTTCTTCATTTACTGCCAGAAAACACTCCTAATTCAGTAAACTGTGGAAAAAAAAGGAATTTCTGAGAACTAATTGTTTTAAAACAGCTGAACCTTGATAGCGACTAAAATCATATCCGTTCTACGTGTATCCAGCGCAAGTCCAATTACATATCTCAATTCTCGTCTTTTCATGTTTCTCTCAAAAAGTCGATTAATGAGCTTTTCCAGGCGAGGATCTATTTCATCTTCATTACGTTTAGCTTGTTTATATGTGTCCAGTGCGTGTTCGATTATTTTATTCACATACTGAAATGAAGAAATGGTCGTCACTAAAAAAAGATATTCTTATACATGCTTAGGCCTAACCTGCATTCGCCGCCATACTTCGTCACCAATTAATGTAGGTGTCCGAGTTGAATTCCAGTGAAATATTATTAAAAAGATTCTTAGCCAAGCAATACCCAAATCCTTCTTCATACGTATTTCATGGAGAACTCTCCATAAATCTATAGGAAATATACAGAAACTATCCATAACATAGAACTATTCATAAACTAGAGGCCTACTCGCCTACTGAAAAACAATAAATTTCATACCTGCTCATCTTGTGAGCCAACAAGAATTGAAGGCGACCGCGGTGTGAGCTGGAACTTATCTTCAGCGGCTAAAGCAAGTTGCAAGGCACCGTTATAGTCTCCCAAACAAAAAGCGACCTGAAATGAACCATAAGCATAGACGAAAAAAAGATGTAATGAATACATAGTAGTGAAATGAGACCTTGGAAGCTAGAAGAGCAGCAAGATAACGCTGTTTAAAATGTTCATCCTCATGAAGTCCTTCGATGACGCTCAGATAGTCGGCCACTTCAAACCAAGTTGGTGTCAGAACATCCCAGTCATCTAATACCTCAATGATCAGTTCCTTTTCGCGCATCGATGAATGCTCACTTTTCAAAGCAAGCAAAAATGCACCTGAATTGAAAATTTTCCCTTGAAGTTTATTTTAAGGTGGTTAATGACCAGTCTATTTAATAT